ATATATGTTTTCCCTGTGTTGCTTATCACAGTTGAAAAGTTATAGCAAAATTAATCAATAGTAACTGCTTTATCTGAAGAAAGAACAAGCTAAAAATTATTTGAGGGAGGTTCTCAATTGGCCTGAAGTGCCAGAGCACTACAGGAAACAATAACTGATTGATGCCAGGAGAGAATTTTTATTACACATTTCAAATATTCTTATGACCTTACTAATAATCATGATGATGCAGAAAGAACAAACACAGTCAGGCCAATTTATTCCTTGTTGTAAGTGTCTTTTAGCTATTCCTCAACTAATAATTCTCCTGATGTTTTTGCAAAATTACACGTCTCCAAGTTGTGTTCTTGAAATCCACATTTAAATCTTGGAATTCAAATGCAATTTACATTAAAATTTATGTTTTTATCCAAACCCAAGTTCTTGGAGTTCTACCCAAGTTTTACATTATGTTTCTACTTCCTGTACCTTTGGCAGGGTTTCCCAGTGAGTACAAAGGTTGTGGGGCACATATTGGCTGGGCAGCCCCTCCACCAGGCTGACTTAGACCTCTGGAAACTGCCCCAGGACATGTGCCAAAGTGCACAACGAGGTGTGTGGCACAGAGTATGTACTGCTGCAGCAAGGCCAAGCCTTCAAGGACCTCAGTTCAATCTGTGACCATGAGATGGTGGAACTCAGGAGTCCACATGGAGGAAGAAAATCAGTAAGCAGGACTAGAACTCTGAACTTCCAGAGAGCTATCTTTGACCTCCTCAAAGACCTATTTAGAAGAATCCCATAGGATAGGGCTCTAGAATAGAAGGGGGTTCAAGAGAGCTGCTCAATATTCAAGCATCAATTCTTCCAAGCTCAAGACCAGTGTATTCCCATGAGCAAGAAATTAGGCAAAGAGGGCAGGAGACCTGCATGGATGAGCTGGGATGTGGAAAAAAAGATGTCCTTACTTCTGAGGCCGCCCATCAGGAATCCCAAACCTTAGAGATAAGAGAAGAAACTTGGAGAAAGGCCTCCCCTTGGCCATAGAAGATTGGGTTAGAGATTGGCTAGGTAGAGTTATCGCCTATAAATTCATGGGCCCTGATGGGATGTACCCATTGGTGATGAGAGAGCTGGCAGATGTTGTTGCTAAGCCATTCTCCATCATCTTTGAAGAATCATGGAGAATAGGAGACGCACCTGATGACTGGAGGAAAGGTAGTGTTACTCCCACCTTCAAAAAAGGACAAGAAGAAGGACATGGGAAACTACTGGCCAGTCAGCCTTATCTCCACCCCAGGAAAGGTGATGGAATGGATAATTTTGGAGGTTGTTACCAAGCGTGTAAAAGAAAAGAAGATCATCAGGAGTAGTCAGCATGAATTCATCAAGGGGAAATCATGCTTGACCAATCTGATAGCCTTCTACGATGGCATGGCAGAATGGGCCAATAAGCGGAGAGCAGTGAACATTTTCTACTTGACTTCAGGAAGGCTTTTGACACTGTCTCCCATAATGTCCTCATAGTTAGTCTCAGGAAATGTGGGTTAGATGAATGCACAGTGAGGTGGATCAAGAACTGCCTGAATGGCAGAGCTCTGAGCATCATGGTCAGTGGGGTAGAATTTAGTTGGAGGCCTGTAGTCAGTGGTGTTCCTGAGGGATCAATACTGGGTTCAATCTTACTCAACTTGTTTATCAGTGACATGGACAAAGGAATAGAATGCACCCTAAGCCATTTTGCTGATGATACAAAGCTGAAGGAACTGGCTGATACACCTGAAGGCTGTGCTGCCATTCAGCAGGACCTTGGTAGGTTGGAGAGTTGGGCGGAGAGAAACCTAATGAGGTTCAACAAAGGCAAGTGTAGGGTTCTGTACCAGGAAGAATAACCCCAAGTACCAAATACTAGAGAGTAGTTCTACAGTGAAGAACCTGGATTCTTGGTGGATGACAAGTTGACTATGAGAAATGTGACCTCATATTATTCTGCTTGCAAAATAGGCTCTGTGCTCCCCCCTTGAAGAGAGACAAACACTGGGGGTCTGTTCCAGCCAAACCTTAAGCATACACTTAACTTCAGCATGCCCGTGCAGGGACAGCTTGAATATGTGATCCTGTAGTGAGCGATCTCTAAAGCACAGTGGAGCTCTGGGAACGTGGGCTGCCGTATTGCTCCATTCCTACACAGCTGGGGACCTGCAGTGCATTTTGGAGAACTAGAGCATGCAGAATTAACTTCATCTTAATTTAGTCCCCTGAGTACACCATAAAGTTCCCACTTCGGTAACACTGTCTTCTGAGGACATTATGACATGCCAACAAAGTGACTATTTTCTCATCTGATGGAAGTGACAAACTGACATAATGCAAAGTATAAAAAATTCAGACCCTTCCTAGTTCTGGTAGCTACTGTGCCATCAGAAGATGACATTTTATATCTGTATTAAGAAAAATGAAAGAAAATGTTTACAGTATGCTAGCCAATAAGACAAAAATGAACTAAAGTGCCGACCAATCTGCAACAATTTTTTTTACAGCTACTTACATTTTAATCCCACCATCCCAAACTGAGCTTGTCAAGCTACCCTTCAAATCAAATGCAAGAGAAAAATCCATCCTTGGCTGTGCAACTATAAACCCAGCCAGTCTAGTAAAGTGAGAGTTACTCTTTCATGTATTTGGCAAATCTGGGAGCAGAATTTACCACTCGGTGTAAATATTTCTGCATAGTTTGTTTTAAAAATAATAATCTTGCCTACTCCTCTTCCTGGCAGACTCTTAGAAAGTAGTAAATATGCAGATGGGCATAGTGATATATTTTGTATCAACATATTTTAAATGTGTGCATATGCATTAGCTATATAAATACATTCCCCAGGAACTCTGCCAGTGGATATACTAGAAAGCCTTGTGTGTTGCATTTGGGTTTGCTTGCGCAGTGGCACAGCAGCATCAGGAAGAACCACTCTCGTTGTATTTGCTCTACGACAGCTCACACTTACCTGTGCAGTTACCTGTTTCTATCTGCATTTACAAATGGTTTAGATTTATATAAATACACATACATACACATATGAGCAAGAATATCATAGAACCATAGTTTGAATTGGAAGGAACCTTAAAGATCCTCTAGTTCCAACCACCTGCCATGGGCAGGTATAACTTCCACTAAACCAGGTTGCTCAGAGCTCCATCTAGCCTGGCCTTGAACACCTCCAGGGATGGTGCATCCATAGCTTCTCTAGCCAATCTATTCCAGTGCCTCACAGTGCTCACAGTAAAGAATTTTTTGTCTTTTCACTAAGTGTTCTCCATCTTTCTTATAGGCTCCTTTCAGGTAGTGAAAGGCCACAATTAGGTCACCCCAAAGCTTTCTCTTTTCCAGGCTGAACAAGCCCAATTCTCTCAGCCTTTCCTCATAGGAGAGGTGTTCCATCCCTCTAATCAACTCTGTAGCCCTTCTCTGGACTTGCTCCAACAAGTCAACATTCTTCCTGTGTTGAGGACCCCAGAGTTGGATGCAGTGTTCCAGGTGGGGTCTCACTGGAGTGGAGTAGAGGGGCAGAATCCCCTCCTTCGACTCTGGCCACACTGCTTTTCATGCAGCTCAGGACACAATTTGCTTTCTGGGTTGCAAGTGCACATTGCTGGATCATGTCCAGCCTTTCACCCACCAGCACTCCAAAGTCCTTCTCAGCAGGTTGCCCTCCATCTGTTCATTCCTCCCCCAGCCTGTACTGATACCAGGAGTTGCTCTGACCCACGTGCAGCATCTTGCATTTGACCCTATTACACTTCATGAGATTCCCATGAGCCTATTTCTCCAGCTTGTCCAGGTCCCTCTGGATGGCATCCTGTCCTTCAGGTGTGTCAACCACACAATATGTACTATATATACATATAGTCTAATGCCTTCGTTATAAAGCTGTTATAAAGCCTTAAAAAAATCTATTAAGTTCTATGAAATATTGCTCTGGGTGATACATGAAGACCATAGCAGTATGTTAAATCCATATGACATATCAAGTCAAATTGTACTTGATAATAGTCAACACAAGAGTAATTCCCCACTGATCCAGCTGCTGCATCTTCAGCTCTAGTGCTGTGCTTACTCTGTACTACCCCATGCACAAACCCTGTCCCACCCTGTGCTGTTCAGTATGCCTGCTCCTCCGCTGCCACTGGCCCTGCATCCTCTCCCTGCTTTTTCTCTTCTCTAGAAAAACTGCTTCACAGACAGATCCTTGAAAGCAAGTGGGACAAACTAGTCTTGCCCAAGCTCTGGAGTCCTACCCTGGGGGCTGGAGAGAAGTAGCCCTGGTCCATGTCCGATGCTGCCCTGTGCTGCAGCATTCCTTCCCGATTGGACCAGCTTTCCCCTCCTGGACTGGCTGGAGGTTGGAGACTGGCGAAGGACAAGAGAGGGAGGACATCTGTCCATTGCCCTTGAGACCCCACTGTCCCCTTGTCCAAAAGGTTTAACAGTGTTTCATGTTTCTTGCTATTACTGTGCTCCTTTTCCAGTGCCGGTACCATGAGCGAGTCAAAGGGTATTGCTCATCACTATTTACATGAGCACTGACAGGCGGGGGCAACAGAGGAACTGGTGTGGGTGGATATGCATGTGACCGTATGGTTAACCATGCGCTATGGAACCACATGGATACTGTTGCAATGGTGCTATGAGAGCCATGCTCTTCCACTTCACTGAGCAAGGAAAAGCTACAACAAATACTGTAGTGGGAACATAGCAAAAAGACAACTTTGCATTTAATTCTAGAAAAAAATCAACTTGTTTTTTCAATGATGGCACTCTGGAATGAGCATTCTGCCGTTTCTGCCCCCCCCCACCCCCTTCTCTAGAGCTACTATTTAGATGGGCTACAGTCTTAAGAGAGAAGCTGCAAAGATGCTAGCTGCGAAAATAAAGGATGAAATAAAAATTCAAGCATCCACATTCCTCCCAACTAAAAATGAAGTTCTGAGGAAATGGAGGAGGCAAAAGAAAAGGAACTTACCACACTGCGAGTGAACTTTTCTAGAGAAGTTCTACGACCTTGCTCATTCTCTGTCTTAACAAGGAAAAAAGTGGGGAGAGAAAAATACAGAAAAAAACCCCTTCAGCTTAAATGCAGTCGTTCAAAACAGCAGCAAAATATACGGAAGCAGCAAGTGGAAAAAGTTGTAAAAAAATGTAAAAAGCAGAAATCAATGTTTGCAACAGCAAACATAAGAAATCAAAATGCCTTAAAGAATGAGAGACATCACTACCTTTACTCTCAGAGAATGTTACCTTTTCTCCTGTGAGATTTTTGAATGGCTCAAACAGGTCTGTGCATTGTTGTGCCTTACAGCTATTGGTATTGATTTCTTGTTCATTGAGTTGTCCATCTGACTGTTTGAGCTGGGACCTCTGATTCTGGTTAACATCTGCCAAACAGCTGACTGGAGGCTCCCATCTACTTGCTTAGAGTGAGGAAAAAAAAACACAGTAATTTTTGCACTATTAAAAAGCAATGTGTGAGTGAATACAGCACTGGAAGAAAACCACCACTGGACTCATTGCCAGGGAACCTACACTCTTCTACTTACCCAAAGGGTAGAAGTATATTTCCATTAAGTTTGACTCCATCAAAACACAAGACAGCAGAGGCATGTCTTTGAAAGGCCACAAAAAGATACAAGGCAGATTTGGAACACTGGTATTTTTGTACGTGGAGTACAGGACTATTCAAATGCAAGAAGACCTTCAACTGCGTGAGAAGACAACCGTGTGCATCACTGCTTTATTAATGTGACCCTGAGAAAGCTGCTCACTGCAGAGCTTCATTCATTTGGCACAAGGGAGATCTAATTGTCACTAACAAGGAAGAACTAAATAATGTATTGGTATCTTTGCTGGAATATCTAAGAGAAAAAAACTGCTATGGAGAAGAGAAGAAACTCAACAATATGAAGGAAAGTCACTGCAGTCAGAAAGCTGTTGGCACTGCTCATTTCCAGGAGAGAAACTTACTTTAAGTTTGCTGGTGAGCCAGCAAAATGGGTGAGAGATGGAAGCAAAATTGCTGTGAAGGACATAAGGAGCTATGTACAAGGGAAAATCACAGCAATGATTGTGCATGAGAGTGCAGTGGAAATAAGCATTGCACTGAGAGAGGCAATAGCTGATGTATCATCTGCCACAGATTCAGTTGCACTAACAATCCCCAGAACAAAGCATCAGTGCAAAAATCAGATGGAAAAGATGTAAGGAAGCCAAAAGCTCAGATAAATAAGATGAGAACTTGTGTAGGTGAGTCTAGGCAAAGCCTTTTGATTCTTCTGCATGTTCATCACAGCTTTCACAGCTCTCTGATGTCTACAAGGTTAGTCGGAAGCATCCCAGGCAGAGATGAGGCAGATTGTCGCTGCCACATAACCAGAGATGAGACCAAAACAAACCCTTTTAAGACAAGCAATATTCTTTCTCCAGATCAAAGAGTCAAGCAGCTTCCCCACTTATAACCCTTTGAGGAAGTCACACCATCAGCTCTGATGTCCCAAAAGTGGTATCAGAAGTGAAAGCTAGAGGCATGTCATTTTAGCCCACATGGAGGATGGAGCCAAGGCCTCAAAGCAAGTATCAAGCAACAGAACAGACTTCCTGGCTGGCAGGAAGACAGTGTTGTACCCAGTCCAATGGTCCCCAAAGGAGTATTTAACATGCACTAAGCCAAGGATTAGTTGCCTCTCCTTCCATGTGATAGGAGGAGAAAGGGGAAAGAAACATCACTCTTCTGCTGAGTATTACAGCAGTGCAAGTGCTCAGAGAATCACAGATTGCCTCTGTGAAGGATCCTCAGAGGTGTCCCAGTACCCCAAAGCAGCAGAGATGAGATAGAGAGCCTGCTGTCCTGCCACCTTGGCTGACTATGTCTCAGTGAACAGGATTGAGGAGATGAGTGCCCAGCTGGGTAGCCAAATTAAAGACACAATTTCATTCAGGAGAAGAAATACCTGGACAAAAGACAGAGTGTTCTGCAAGGATCCCTAGGGGAGCAAGATGCTTGGAGTCTGCAGCACTGCAGAGCTGTGGGCTGGAAAATCAGTGTCTGGCCCAACTGCATTTTGAAGTGAAGGTCTGGTGTGCACTGGGGGCAAAAGAGAGTGAGCTGCTGAATGCAAACAATGCTGTGCCCCTGCACTTGCCATCAAAATTTAGTGCCTCTGCTTTTTCTACCTGCAAGGTGATACAGCTTCCCACCCAGCAGAAAGGCAGGATAATGGTCTCCAAAGATGATGAGCATGTTGTTGGGGTGCTGAGACCTTGTCTGGAAGAGGGAGCCTCCCATAAGGCTGCCTACCACAACTGAAGACACATGTGGGGAAGCAGCCATGGGGAGCATCGACAGTGTCTCACAGAAGCACCTTGCAAAGCACAGTCTGCAATATTTGGCGAGGTGGTGGCAGGCTGGGACCAGCTGGATGCATGGAAAGCTCATCCCCATAGCATCCAGCTCTGAGCCAAAGCATGACATTTTCTAGGAAAATAAAAAGCAGCTGAGGCAGGCTGGCTGCAGAGTGATGAGCCGGTTGGAGCAGTTTTAATGGCTGTGGGTGTGGGTGCTGGCTGTATGGCTCACTGGCTCTTCCTGTCTGCTTGCCCCTGTGGTTGGCAGCCTGCTGTGGATGGAACCGCCTGCCCACATCTCTCCACCACGGTGCAGAGGTGGGGAGGCTGCCCTGCACAGCAGATGAAGGAAATTTAAAAATAACAAAGTAAAAAATAAATAAATAATAATTAAAAAAAAATAGACTGAGTCAGACCTATCTCAGTCTTGGGAACAGACCTGGGTGTGGACCCTGGAGCCGTGCCTGCTGCAGCACCACAACAGCATTTGCACAAACATGCACTGTGTGTGCAAAGGGGCAAAGGCAGAGAAACACATGTGCATGCCAGGTCATGTAGTCCTCCCAGGTGCAAAAGAAGCAAACTTTGCCAGTAAATACACCAAGAGACTCTACCAGCTAATGGCAAAGGACATGTGCATTTGGATAAAATACAAAACAACTATCCCTGCTGCAACTGAAAACCTCTCAGCCCAGGTAGATACAGAAAAATACATTTTACCACTTAGAAGTCATTCACTAATTATTGACTTTCTTCTCCAAATTTTCCTTTTTTCTAATGATTAATTTTTTACCCAGTCATTCAATTTTAAGTTCCTTTGTGAAGATTCTGCTGGCTCAGAGTTTAAGTAGAAAAAAATTAAGAAAACCAGTTGACACTGATTATTAAAAGTAATTATGAGGAAAAGTGCTCAGCATCTTTACAACATGCAAGGCAAGTCCTGCCACTGAATCAGACTGTCCATTTGTGCCCTAATGGGACTGAGACAGGGCCATAATCTGCATTAGGAACCTTCCTTGACAATACAGAGCAGTCAGCAGAGGGATCTGGATAAAAGTAATGCTTCAAAAGGTGTGTGTGGAAAATGGAACCTACCCCTCATGGCATGAAGGTCCTAACCATTCCCTTGCTGACCCTTTTTGCCAGGGATCTGAAAAGGTGTAGGGAAATACATACAAAAACTTGGTCTTCTAAACTTCAGGTCTGCAAAAATCTCTCCCTCCCTCCTTCACTCCCTCCCTCCCTAGGTTTATTTTGTTGGCTATCAAATCCTTTTTTTTGGTATGAGACTTTGGGGTGTGGAGTGGGGTTTATTTTGAACTTTAACTTTGTAAAAAATATGTGTTCCAGAGGGAATGGCATCAGATGAAAATAAAGGATAATTACTTCCCTGACCAAAGCCCAGGGTCCTTGGCTTCTCAGGCAGTCATGTCTACCTGTCCAAAGTGAGAAAGCAAAGGCACTACCAAGTGACCAGAACAGTATTTTGCATATATTTTGTGTCCATTTGAGCAGGACCACAGTGAATTCACACTTCCCTGAACCAGCTGGAGAGGAAAACAATGCTCTAAGCCAAGCAAATACCAACCTGCTCTTCCTTCAGTGTGGCAGGGCTTAATCCCATGGCTTTGCAGCCTGGCTGCAGTGCAGCCATGGGTGCCTTTCCAGCATGCTCCCCTGCCTGAAGGCAGGGCTGAATGGCAGGAAGCCACCTCATGTCAGGCTGACATGAACACCAGGACTGTGACAGTTCAGCTGCTGCTTCAGCTAATGCAGAGATGACCACCAATGTCATTGTTTCACCTTTACGGTGAGTAATGGAAAGTGCCTCAAGGTCTTTTCTGTTTCTTTCTCTCCTTTCCCCACAAAAATAACTAGCAGAGCTTGTGTCTGGCTGCTCCTTCACCATTAACAAAAGTTCCTGTGCATAACTGATCTACACTGCTCTTTCCCCAGGGAATAAAACCCTGCTCTGCATCCAAGTCACCCTGCCTAAATGCCTCCTTGCCTCGAGTGAGGAGATTTGTCACAGCACTTGTCCTGATGGGTGGCTCACTGCTGTCTAAGGACATCCAGCCCCCATTTTGGCTGCTGTGTAGAAGGGCTGGAGGGCAGTGCAGTGGTGATTACCTGCTGTACAGTACCCTGCAGTAACTTGCATATCAGCAGAAATAGCAGCAGGTCGACACTTGACTTTGCACAGCACAAGTGGGGCATGTCTTGTAGATACACAAATAAAATGCAATAAGTTGGTCGGGGTTCTCAGCACCATCCAGACCTTCACTGCTAAACCAGATGCTTTCAGCAGCCCCATGATTTCTACCTGCTGCAGAGAGGGGGATGGGCACGAATGCACAGAACTCAAATTGGGCTGGGCATATGGCCATTCCCCCTGAGGACAGGGCTCCACCCTAATCCCTCCTCTTCTTCAGCCTGGCAGGGAAGAGGACTTCTGTTGGAGGCAGAAAGCTACACCCAGCTTTCCCTCTCTGCAGCTCACTGCTTCCAATCACACCCTTGCTGGAGGCCAAGCTCATATTCCCCGCTGAGCACCATGAATCTGCAGGACTGAGGCCAATAATACTGTGGTTATTTGCAATAATGACACTGGGAAGAATGAAGAAAGAAAAAATCTTAAATGGATTAACCAAGTATGTATGCCCTGGTCTGCATACAGCCTATGTCTGCTGTCTTGCATCCGTTAGTGGTGTGAACAGTATGTTCCCCTCATAATTCTGTCATTGTACCTCAATCCTGACCCATAATTTCTTCTCCCTTCTTCCTCTCCATTACTGTAGTCCCAGAGCAGGGAGGGGTAGATCCACATCTGTGGTTACTGTATGGTGTGGAAGAAAATAATTCTTCAAACTTACAGTATCTTACAAATATCAAAAATGTCAAGCATGTTTGGAATCACTAATCAAGCTTTGGCTTCAAGCTAAGCAGGTCACTATTATTATTGCCATTTGACAAAGAGGAGGATATGAGGGAGGCAAAAAGTTGAACCTTTTTTTCACCAAGTTCACACAAGAAATTAGATGGGGGAACCAGGGGAAGCACATGGATTTTTATGGCTCCTAGTCCTGTGCTCTAGCCACACAGTCAACATTTCTGCCCTCTCAGTTGCCACAACCCAGTGCCAAAGGGCAAAAGATCACAAATAACGTAAACTTACTTATCCACAAAATATTCACCTGTGAATCTGAAGCCACAGTTTATTTGCTTTATGCAAACAACTCTTTTATCCCATGTCCATCATGCTGTGCTTCTGACAGAACGTATTTTCAGTAATGGAAGTAAGGCTATGTCATACAGTGTGGTATACAGGCAATGTGAGGATAATGTCTTTGGGGAAAGACATGCCTCAGAGAGATGTGCTCATCAAGACTTAAAGAACTGCAGCGAATTTCTATTCACATCAGTGAATCCAGGACTTTGTTTGCAGGTTCTAAACCAAATCCTCCAGCCCCACTGGCTCTGATATGCCACTGGCTTTCTCTTTTCCTTCCCTCTGCTTTCCAGCTTTTTAGAGGAATTTTAAAAGGATACCTCTCAAAGCTGCACCAAAGGTCCTCAAGATAGGACTGTGTAGCTCAGTGCACAGAAACTTCTTGTTCTTTCTGTTAGCATTTCGGTACCTACACTCCTTCCAAAACATTCACTTGTCCAGTATAATGCAATGTGGTTGCACAGAGCTTTACAGACTCCAGAGGAACCCCAACTCCCCTCCCACATCATGTGAAGCTGGTGAACAGCACATCTGCACGGATCTACTCTTGCCTTTTTTGTGCTTTGATATATTTACTCGTGCACCCACAGCTTTTTCTTAAAGGAACTTGATTCTTGCTTTCATGGCTGCGTTAACATGACACCAAAACCTGCTCCTCCGGCAGTTTGCGGGGGAATGAGGATGTCACGCTGACACATCCAGGGCTTGATCTGACAGCAAACAAGGACTGCAAAAAAATAAACCTCCAGTTTGAATGGGCTCGGCTGGGAGTAGAAAACTCTCCTGGCCTTCAAGCACATGAACCCTAATGTGTTCAATGGAGACTTGGGGGTGAGGGGAGCCATAAACTGCTAGGGGTAGGAAGACAGAAGAGGTTTTTACACTTTATACCATCAGAAGACTTTGCCTTACACTTCCTTCTGTCCCCACGGCCTCTGAACTCTAAGTCAGGCCTAACCTGCACTGGCTTATGCTGTCACAGACCAGACATTTTGAAACAGAAGGCTGACTACTGCCCTCCACTACCTTCCCCTAACCACCTGCCAGTAGTTTTGGCACAGCAGACAGAGAGACTTGTCTCCTTTTGTCACCATATGCATGCTTTTAGGGCATACAATGACAACCAGGACAAAAATACCACTGGGATTTCATTGTATTGTGTCGATGCAATGTAATTTGGCAGCACACAGAGAATGCAGCAGAAAAACAGCAGGGAAGATGGTGATAGGAAACCACACAGTCAGGCTGCAGGAGCCAGGAGTCAGTTTTCATAGGGTCCTGGAGGCCAAACAGAAGTGGGACACATACACATGTACATGGCATGCACATGCACACAGACAGACACACAGACCTATGGGAATTATTCAGGAGGTGCAGGAAGCATTTGAGCAGAGCCACAAATGCTGAGATCAGTAGTTTATCTCCCAGACCTCTTAGAAAGAAGGGGCACAGGGACAGGAGTTGTTGTAACTCTGTGTAACCACTTCTTTGCTGCCCTAATCTGGGGGCTCCTGACAGAATCACAGTGCTGGCAGAGCTCATGCAGATGCTAAAAGGTTAAGAAGAGCTCAAACCCAGATCTCCTGTGACACAATGGGGCTGGAATTCTTGATTACTACATGCGTTGTAATTATTTCCTGTCTCGGAGGAAAATGAAACATCTCTGGGGAGGCAAAAGCAAGGGAAAGGGAGGAGTATGGAAATCACTGAAGGAGAATTTAGAGGTAAGGCATCCAAAGGAAATATTACATGGTGAGGCTAGGCAGGTGGAAACCTTAATGGGTGAATTCTGCACCAGTAATGAATAGATTGATGGGTTCTGCTTCTCATACCACACACCATCTTTTCCATGAGAAAGAGGTAATACAATTTTAATTGCCTACTGGGAGACAACTGTGCAAGACAGACACCTTTCAATATCATTTTTACCTTGGGCCACCATATTTTCCCCAAAACTCATGCTGAGGCTGTGCACACGGATGCCATACCTGTGCCCCCAGTGAAGAAGACAATAGTGCTCATTCCCTTCTCAAAGTAAAAAAAAAAAAAAAAAAAAAAAGGAAACAGTATTTTCATTTTCACATTAGCAGCAAGCAGCAGGTGAGAATCAAGAGGTGCTAAGAGATGCAAGCATGTCCTTTCCAACAGATACCTTCTTCTTTGCCAGCAGTAAGTCCTGGTAAGCATTGGAACGGAGGAAGCGCGCATAGCTGTCACTCTTCATCAGCTTGTAAATGTGCTCCTGTGGGACGGGAGGAAATGAGAGACAGAGAATTCTTATCAAACCTCATTTAGACATCACAGGCATTTAAAACAGAGCAAATTAGAAGGAAGAGAGACTGATCAAAGTTCTAAGTAAGGCTGCTATTATTGATTATCTGTGCTGTGGTAGTGTACAGGAGGTCCATCCTGGGGCAGGATCCTGCTGTGCCTGGGGCTGTATAAACACAAAACAAAGAGACGGCCCTCACCCCAAAGGCTGGCACACATTATTTGATAATCACTGTTATTCTGCAAACACTGCAACTCTCTGAAGTCTCCAGATTATAAGCAGGTGCCTAGCCTGTCTGAAGCTACTTGGATCCCTCTAGAAGGAAGAAATAACCACCAGAAATTGTCCCATAGATTAGGTTTCATTTTACCACTCATAGATATTTGGACTATCGCCCAGCATTCCCCTCCTGTTCACGGAAGGGAACTGGTACTTGGACACATTTCATCTCCACTTAAGACATTCATTTAAGCAAGTAAATATCCTGAAAAAGCCCATATCTCTGGTGACTATGCAGGGAGGTTACATGAGTAGCTCAGCTGTGGATGGATACATCTTACATCAGATAAGTCTCTCTTCTGGGTTCTTTCTTCTCCTAGCAAGTCTAACTAATGTTACATGTTTGCTCTGAGAGAATCTTCAAACTTAAAAAGTAGTGTTTCATTGCAGCAGAACTTAACACATACCCTTTTCTAATTTCCTTCCTTAGTTTTACTTTCCTGCTGAGAATCCCTTAACACAGTCAGCTCTTCTGCTAGTTATCCCTAGATTTGTAACAGATATTATCCCAAACATGAAGAAAATAAAATCAAAACACTTTGACCAAATAACGACTGAGAACACACTAAAGGAACTCAAGAGAAAAACAGGCACCCTGGGCATTTCTCTTAAACTTTACCCAAGGAAGCACTTTTACAGAGTTAATGAGCAGTTTTAACTATACTGATTTATGCAACATGAAATATTCTCTCCTATCCTAAAGCCATTGTACATGAAACTTTAGAAGAACCAAACAGACACAAGTTGCACAGCTTATTTCAGTGTGTTAACAAGCCAAGCAGAATTCCCTCATCTTCACCAACACGGGTAATTAGTGATGACCTGTCTATACACAGAAGAACTGCTTAATTCAGCTTTCTTACACTATTCGGTGTAGTCCTAAGAGGGGCATAACTGCCACTGGTTTTCCTACGACACAGCATAAATGTATCCTTTGAGCTACAACCTGGTGTGGAACAATTTTTACTGGTTAATTTTCATACTTGCTTTTAGTCTTGACAGATCCTCATTTGTGCAGCGCTATCTAACTGAAGGACAGCACAAGCTTTTGCAATAGAAACACTCATATAAAGCCATTTAGCAAATGTCACCCTTCTTGCTTCAGAAAAAAAAACACATGGGAGGGCATAGTTTCATACTCCTCACATTCAGCATTACCATGAGATTTCACATCCAGCTGTGGGACATTTTTTCTATTTATTCAGGATACAATGAGCCAAATATGCCCTAAGACAAGAGAAGGGAAAATAATACACTCGTGGTATAGTCGTCAAAAGGTTTATATTTCTCTGGTGTGAATAAGGATTCTCAACATCAGTTCTCTCCTAAATACTTCAACTAGCAGAAACCCAGGACTCAGTTGATTTAAACCCAACCATACTGCAACCAGTTCGTCTGTACTGTTATTTCTTAAGGTTTCCAAGGAGACTCCATGTCCTCCTAATGAGTTCTTTATAATTACTTGGGAGAAAAGCCTCCATCTAACTATGTGATTTTCCAGGACCTCAAGGAGACTGATGAGTAAGTGGGGTAGCCCACCAACAGTAAAGGGCCTGAGGGGTCTCCAGAGCCTTCTTCCTCTTAGTGGTCCTCACTGCAGCAGCCAGTACATGGGGTTGGGGGTGCTGAGGTGGGCAGGAAGGTGCTGTGGGATTGAGGTGCTGCAGGGCTGGTGGGTGACAGAGGTATTTCTATTTCATCTTTGCTAGACATGATATTTTTACTGTCTTTGGACTCCAAATGGTTTTTTTCCCCATGGTCAGACAACTGGATCTGCTCTGAAACACAATGGCAACATTTTTTGAAAATAACATACAGCTTTCACTGCCACACAGACAGAGGCAAAGGAGAACACACCAGGCTGGCCTTACAACTGCCTGCATGCCAGCAACAACCATCATTCTTGCTCATGTCACGATGACTTCATGTATTTGACCTTAAAACAGTATAAACTCAGTATCTGGCAGTGGGAAGGGGAAAAAATTGCTTCAATCCTGAGATGAAATAAACCACAAGGTGACTTCGCAACTGAAGTCCTTCCCTGAAACAGAACTATTGCACTGCCACAGCCCCACTGCCACTGCAGTTGGCTAATTGGTTTGAAGCATTTTCTCTGCTTTTCACATCTTGGAATCACTGAGCAGCAATACTGGTACCTTTCAGCTGTTCACTAATGATAAAATCAAACAGGGAATAACTATTCCTAGGCTTTGAATGCTAATGAAGAAAGAAGGTTGGGCATAGGAAAAGGAGGGATATGCATAGCTTCAGAAGCAAACTTTACTGCTTAATTGTAAGAATTCAAAGGGTTTGCTTTGAAGATGATCTGGACTGGAGGCATGAATGATACACAACACTGCATTTCTGAAGCATCCACTGGAAGTCTGAGCCAGTTGCTCAGGTCAGCAAAGGCTGCCTTCCAATTTGCAACAGTACAGGACAGCTCACATTGCTGCAGCCAAAATCCCCACTGAGACTGCACCATGAAGATTCCTGCTAAAATTGTGACTGCAGTGTGTGTTCAGCCTACTTACACAATAAATCTAGCTGCAGGATGGGAAATGCCAGTGGCTGTGACATTTGTTTTAATATTTAGCCTACTCTATTCTTTGCCATCAAGCTATTTTCTGTTACACTTTCTAGAATCTGCAACTTTCTAGGGAGAACCCACAGCTAGGGTTTAGCAGCTCCTCATTTTATACATACATTGAAAGCTACTGCAGGTCTAGCAACTGGCCATATTCTGTGGAAGTCTGAGCAATGGGCATATCAACAGAGGTGCAGGCTTGGATATAGTTGCTCTGTGCAAATTGTACAAATTGGCTTGTCCTTCTCTGTTACAGATTTTTAGCTCACTTTGGATCATTGTAACCCACTGGTCTCTCATTTTTTATTTTACTGAGGAGCTGCTTTTGTTCCACCTCTTCATCACATGATGGAAAGGAAGGACACCCTCATTAAGACTGAAATTTCCCAGTGCAGCCAGCAACTCTAGTGATGCACTTTATACACATGCATGATCTCCCTGACATACCTGACATTGCTGGCAAGAAATCTGAGCCTTTCCATCCTTATGCTGAGATAACTTTCCATTTTGTAACATTTTTTACATGGTAATGAGCTCACTATCGCTGGTTCCCTGAATACACAAAGTAAATGCTCTACTTGTATAATTTTTAAAAATGCAGCTGCAGCTCTGGACATCACTTGCACTGCAAGTAGTATGGCCAGAATTACCACTGCATCACTTCTTTACAAGTGCCATAGAAGTTCTTCTGCCCCATCTGCACACGAGCAGGAGAAACACTTCATCTAGGCAGTGTAGCCTCTCCCAGCCATTGCTGGATACCACTTCACAGGTAGGGCTCGGACCTGAAGCTCCCTGCTCTAGCCTTAAGACAGCAATCCTTTAGGGAGCCATGTTGCAAAACCCAGGATTTAAAACAATCATCTAAGAAAATTGCCCAAGTGATCTATTAAACCATTAAGCTACCAAGGTAGCTTATAAAGTCAGATAAAAAGCAGAAAAAATAAGTCTGTCAAGATTTAGCCAGAAGTTGACAGGCATCACGTGTCCCACTGGTCTCCCCTGCAGCATTGCCAGCTATTTCTGAGCAGCAAGCTGCCATCTCAGGCCACTGCAGTGGCAGCTGCACGTGGAGACAGGGACTGACTTGACATGTGAGAGCGAGCCCTGGTGAGCTGGCTTTCTGAGCTGACCGGTCACTCAGTCCCTCACCCAACGTGCTGTTGATGAGTGCTGGCTGTACTGATGTTCCCCTGCGACAATAAGATGTACGTTTGGAAATGTCAGTCTAACATGGAGGGTGACACAAGAACTTGCTTTTGTAAGTACAGTGGATTTCATCTCCAGGAAGCAAACACTTCCCTTAAGAGATTCCTGCAAGCAGTGCAAGTTTGTTGTCAAACTTCCCCATGACTGTTGTTTCCCAGTTCCTGAACCAAGTCAACAGAGGCAATGGGATCTGCTTGCATCTTGTCTTGAAAAAAAGGCAGACCCCTTTTGTGTTTTATGCACCTTAATCACATCCCCTACATGGTGGGAAGAAATATGCAGTAGTGCTGAGGGATGTCCAGGTCCACTGAGCATATTCTCTGTAACTAGTTTTCTATCACGAGTTACACTTCAGACAGCATAACCATTCCATAACCATTTCATTTTCCGTCACCATTGCATGATATAAAGGAGAACAAACAGTACATTTTAAAGGGGAAAATGTTGACCCTTCTAGAAAACAAAGGAACCAACCAGGTAAATCACAGAAAAAATTAGTTTCTACACTTATGTGAAATCAAGAGGAATCCCACTCCTTACAGCTGACAGCTTAAGTGCACGGAAATAAACCCTGATGAGGTTCAGCATCTCTTGACTATTTTCCTTCCACAAGCATTACCTTTGGAAAGAGATGAAGGACAAGCTTTGTAAATTTTCCCTGGTAAGAGGGGAAAGGGGAAGGAAAAAATAAAGAAAGTTTGCAATCCAGACGGGAATGTGGGAGGTGGTTGAGATAGCAGAAACTGCCTCAAAGCTGCACCTCCTTCAAATCAATGTGCTGCTATGTGATCTCAGGTTTCTCTTCCCCCTCACAGTCAAAGCACAATAACCTTGGGGAGGGCACTGCTGCCAGATAAGCAAGACCTTGGGAACACTCAAGAAAAATGGGGGATAA